CAGAGCTCTTCCATAGGGCCAGCCTGAAGGACAGGAAGCTAGCGACATCCTGCGGTACTTCATTGTGTACCCAAGGTGCCAGGGCTGACTCGTAGAGGCCGCCTTAGATTTTTGATGAGGGCTCCTGGTGTACGTCCTGCCGTTTTGTGGCAGCGCCCTGTGGTTCAAGCCACCGTCCTGAGACACACAGCGCAAGAGCACTGTCTCAGCACACCGATGCAGCCACCCTGTGAAGCAAAGGGGACAAATTCAGTCAGCCTTCGCTGGTAGCTGGCTGCGCCTGGAATCGCTCTCTATGGCTATGGATCGCGCCTCCAGCGGAGGAGTCGCCCAGCATGTTCTGGAATGGATCGTTTCAATTGTTTGAAGTTGGTTTCAACGTATAGTTCCTGTTTCTTGTTCGACGGCGAGGGCTGTCGTGGCCAGGTACAGCACAGCCACCAAACTAGAGGGGGCACAAGAACCGACAATACGAGCCTTCCGCCCCAAGAGGCCCCCTGCAGGCCCCAAGGGACCCCCAAGACAACCCAAGAGAGCCCCAAAGAGACCCCAAGCGACTCCACAACGGCCCCCAAAAGGTCTCCAAACCTGTCTCCAAAAGGCCCCCGAGAGATCTCCCACGATTTCCATACGAACTTCCAAGGGGCCTCTAAACCACAACCCAGGCACGGTGGCGGGATGGGCCGAAGGCCACTGGACGGTCCGAAACGGCCTCTTTTGGAACGATTGTGGCGTTTCCGCTTGTTCCGCTTCCCGACGTTGCAAGACGCCCCGAGAGGCCCCGAGGATCGCCCCAAGACGGCCCGATAGGTCTCAAAAGCGCCCCAAGACGGCCCCAAGGCGGCTCCAAAACAGCCGGATTGGACCGTGTTTGCGCGGAGCCAATGAAAAAAGACGGAGGAAGGGAGCAGGAGCTAACAGCCGAAGAGGCGTCCAAGACGTCCCGAGGGGCCCCGACCGCGGGCGGGTGTCGGGAATGCGAGCCGGGCGCCCGAGATCTTCGCCCCAGCAGGCCCCCAGGAGGCCTCCAAGAGGCCCCCAAGAAGCCCCAAGGAGGCCCAGAAAGCTCCACAAGAGGCCTCGAGGGTATTGGAAAAAAACTGGGATTCCAGCATGTCCCCTTTTTAAAAGTTCGCCTGGCAGCTTCGCTGCGCTTGGAAATATCGTATGCCCTTTTCCTCAAACTCCACCTCTTCCTCCTCCTTGTGTTCCCCCTCCTCTGCGACCTCCTCCTCCTCCTTCTCCCCCAGGGAACCCCGAGTCGCGGCGAAGAGAAGGGGGCCCGAAGTACCTCTTGGGCCTGTCTTAGGCCGCCGTGGGTGGACCGTAGGAAATCTTAGCATCTTCGTGGTTTTTGGAAGCCCCAGAGAAGACGTATTATACACTAGAGGTCCCCGAGAATTCGACCATCCAGCCCAGCTAGAACTTGAGATCGCGCGAAGCGCGCAACGGTTCTAGTATCTCTCCTTATCTCTCTCTCTCTCGTTGGAGGTGTGCGTTTGACAAGTGAGCACGGCGAGGTATTAGTAATTCATTCACCGTTGCCCCGCCCCCCAACGCAAGTCCTGCGATCCGACGCTGCGAAACAGTTACAACACCGCGAGCCATCACGGCCCCAGCCAGAAAATGATGACTGCTGATCTGCGGAGACGGCTCTGGGCGTCCTCGCTTCGACGCGGGCCACACTTCTGATGGGCCTGGTTTCCACCACCACCACCACCATAAGTTGGAGGGGGGGGGAGGAGGAGGAGGAAGAGGAGGAGGAGGAAGAGGAGGAGGAGGAGGAGGAGGGAGGAGGAGGAGGACGAGGAGGAGGAGGAGGAGAGAGGAGGAGGAGGACACCCTCCCCCTCCAACTTATGGTGGTGGTGGTGGTGGAAAACAAAGCCCATCAACTTCCTCTGAAAGCCGACAAACGCTGGGCGTTGAAAATTGCAGCGCCCAGATCTCAGGGATGCAGTCAGAGCTAGTCGTTGAGGTGAAGTTCGCTCCGTCGCGGCTGGACGATGGCTCGCCCGAGTGCCTGCGTGGGCGGGCGTCTGGGGCAGGGAGAGACGGGGGCGGCGGAGGCTCACGAAGACGCCTGCGGCGAAATCACCGCCGCCCCCTGCCTCCTCGGAGCGCCCATGCGGCCACACGTGGGGCCGAAGTCTGGCCAAGGTATTCCGGCGGCGAGCCTAGGGGAGAATGCAGAGAGGGCGGGCCTTCCCAGACAGCTCGGGAGGCCTCAGGCCTTCGGAACAGTTTTCTTAGCCTCCTCCGAAGAAAGAGACGGCTTCTCAGAAGGCCAGTTGGTTTCTGAGAAGCCCCGCCAGAAGGCATGGCCCCTCCTCACTTCCTCTCGGCGCGCCGCCGAAAATTGGACTCCGTGTGTCCGCCCAGCCGTTGTGGAGCCCCTTAAGGGAGCACTTGGGAGAGGAGGAGAATTGAGGAGGAGAGAGAAACAGGAGGACGAGGGTACTGGCGGCTTGTACAGCCCTGGGGGTGGCTGGACCCTGTAATCAGGAAACATATGAATTGAAATGGTCTGCGTGTCTGTTGATATGATGCAACAGTGAGTGGGTGGTCCGGGAGGCAGGATTTACCCCTCAGGAAGGTGCCACCGCACTACAATTCACGGGAAGGCGCGTGCGGTTCCGACAAGCAAGTGGAGTAAAGTCGCCCCGCATGTGCATGCGCGTGCCAAGTGGGGGAAAGATTTGACCGCCCCAGGGAGGAGGAGGAATAGGAGGAAGAGGAGGAGGAGGAGGACGAGGAAGAGGAGAAGGAGGAGGAGAATGAGGAGGAGGAGGAGGAGGAGGAGGAGGAGAGGAGGAGGAGGAGGAGGAGGAGGAGGAGGAGGAGGAGGAGTGGGAGGGGGAGGAGGAGGAGGACGAGGAGTAGCAGCAGGAGGAGGAGGAGGCCTGTTGAGGCTCTCTCTATCGGGGCCTCCTGCAGGCCTTCTGGGAGCCTGCTGGACGCCTTTTCTGGCGGATCTCGAATCACCTGCCGCTGCCCCGCCCGGTGCGCGGCTCCGAGGGCGCGGTGGGAGCGTGTCTTGATGGGCCTCTTTTCCACCACCACCACCATAAGTTGGAGGGGGGAAGGGGGTGGAGGAGGAGGAGGAGGAGGAGGAGGAGGAAGAGGAGGACCCCCTCCCCCTCCAACTTATGGTGGTGGTGGGAAACAGGCCCAGCATGTCTGGGGCCGGCAGGGCATCGGAGATCGTCGTGCGATCCATACCTTTGTCACTAAGGGTTGATTGCTTTCTTGCCGTTCGACTTGTGGGGATCAAGCCGGATAACTCAAGGTAATTTTTTTGCAGAGCTTGGCATATGCTGTCAAATCTAGGCAAGTCCAGGTAGAAAACATGGATGTCCATGAAAGTCCGTAGCGCATCGTGGCCGCTCCAGCGCGACTTGAGGGACGGCAAAGTTGTGCAGCCCCCAACGACCGTGCTGCTGCCCCCACTCCGGCTGCCAGGGGGGGGGGCGGGCGGGCCGTGGACGACCGAACTGGGTTTCCAGAGGCTGTAGTTTGGTCCACCCTCCCCTCCGCCCCCCTCGTAGAGTAGAGGTCTGGCGTGCGCAGGGGCATGGACAAGACGTGGACCGGGCGGGCGTTGCGCCAAGGGAGGGCGACACATCGTGGGGGAAGGGTGCGCCTTTCGCGCCTTTTCAGCCCCAGGGGCCCCCCTTAGGGCACCCGAGGTGCACGAAGGTGCACGTTCCTCCGCCCCCCCCTTTTCCCTGACCTCCCAGAGCGCCGAAGTCGATCCCTCCAGACCCATCGACCTGCTTGGGCTGCTTGGACCTCGACTGGGCTTCAGATGGCGAGGCCCTGGTGCTCCTCTTCGAAGGATTGCAAAAAAACCAAAGATTGCAAAAAAAACCCTAGAATCCTAGGTTCTGTTTTTGCAATCCTAGGTTTTTTTGCAATCCTTCGCCCTCGAGGAAGGCCTGGGCGCCCCGCCCCCCCGCAGCACTCCGGCGCGGGCAGGGCCCCGGAGCCCGAGGCCTCGAGTGCCCCTGCACGGCGCTCGCGGCGCTGGCCCCCGGGCGGCCCGCTCGGGGAGGTCGGGGCGGACGGCCCCAGACCCCCTCGAGTCATGAAAAAATCACGACGGGAGGTTTTTCATGATTTTTGGCCTCTGGGGGCCCTTACCGGCCCTCGGGAGCGCCAAAAAACGATTCAGGATGAAAAGCCGGTCATGGGGAAAGGGTCGGGACCTCTGGGGGTCGCGTCATGAAAAAATCATGACGTCGGGGGTCTGGGGCAGCGGGGGGCAATCGACGCCCGGGGGGGGGGCCTCGAAGAAGTGGGCGGTCGACGTCTTGTCCACACAGCCAAGACTCGGGCGATCGCAAACATGGATCAAGGGGGCGTGGATTGGCGGCGGGTCCCGTTTCCATGGGCAGTCGCGGATTTCCGCCGCCGAGCGAGGCGGCGCCGGCCGCATTTTGGGGAGGGCATGTTTGTGCGACCCCCGAATAAGGGCCGCCTTGGAATCAGAAGGGGCTCGCTGTTCCTGAGGCCATTCCGTGGCTGTTCCTCTAGCCCTCCTCGTGCACCCGGGCTCTTGTGGTGCAAGAGATGGGCCTCGTTCCTTAGCTGGCGCTCCTTATGGCAGCAGCTTGACTGTACTCCTGCTCACGTTGGAGCCGACTGGGGGTCTGAGGTGGCCCAGTATTGGTGCCAGCGAGCAGAGAGAGGGGGCGGGCTTCGAGCGTCTGGGTTCGGGGCAGTGTTTGCCCTGCTCGGTCTCATGGGGGCAGTGTTCGGGTCCCGGGGCCGTCGAAGAGGATCCTGGTGGAAAAATTGCACCAGGTAGGTCCCGGTTGAGGTCCAGGGACAGTTTTTGAGCAGTCTTGCTTTCATCCCCCCTCTTGATTGATCTTCTCGGGACCCAGCCAGCCCGGCCTCCCGGCCCGGCCCGGCCCTGGTCCCACATCCGCCAGGTCTTGGTTCCCAGTCATGCCCAGTGGAGGCACGGCGGCGCAGGACGCGTTCCCTTCCCGAAAGGAGACCCCTCTTGTTCGGCTGCCTGCTGGCGATGATGGCCGCGCATGGCGCTTCCGCCCTGTCGCACAGCTTCTTCATGTACTCTCTGTGCAGATTTGTCACGGGCTTCTTCAACGGAGGCGCGGGCATCATGTGTTTCGTCTACCCGTCAGAGGTCGTGGGGAAGGAGTTCCGCGGCCAGGTGATGCTGTGGGTCAGCCTGGGCTGGTCCGCTGGCGCATTGGGCCTGACGGCCACCGCGTATTTGGTGAGAGGCTGGAGACCGCTGACACTGGTGACGGCGCTGTCGGGTGGAGTGTTTTTGCTCGGCCCCATCCAGTACATCTCGTGGGACCAAGAACGGCACCTGCAGAAGGATGTCGGAGCTCCGCGCGGATGTCTCGGATCGGCGCTGGACCCCTCTCCCAGACGCTGCCGGGGGGGGGGTCCAGCACCCACCCAAGGAATCCACGCGGAGTTCGGACAGCTTCTGTTTCTGTCCGTTCTCTCTCCCTCGAACATCGAGGAGTCGCCAGGCTCAGGAAGGACAAACAGACACAGACACAACGAATCGTCGATCCCCACGGAAGTAGAGAAAACATTGGAAGTGGAGGGGACGACGGAGCCCGCGGAAATAGGGGATTATATTGGGATCCCTGGGATCTGTGCCTATGCAACCCCGTGCGGGCGATAATAAAGTACCCCCCCCTTCACCCCCTCTATCTTTTTATCCCCGTCCAACAGGATCTAATTTTGGATAGGGGCGCAGAGGCCGAACTTGACTGGCAAGTTGTAGTCACGAGCTTCGAGATCTCTCGGGTCAGTCTTGTGCCCCGCGCCTGCTGGCAAGTTGTAGCCACGAGCCTCGAGATCTCTCGAGTCAGTGTTGTGCCGAGCGCCCTGGATCACCATCATCATGACCATCGTCATCATCATCATCATCACAAATTCACCTTCCCCGGGAGTATCGTTTATTATCCCCGCCAGACCCCCGCACTTGATTATCCCCAGGGTATTATTATCGCCCGCACAGGGTTCATTTATTTGCGCGCCCTGGGCTCACAGGCTCGGCGGCGAATGACGGGGGGCATGAAAAGGGTGAGGCCTTCTCAGAAGGCGGCGGGCCTTCTCAGAAGCCGTCTGGCCTTCTGAGAAGCTTTATGTAGCACCTTTGGGGAAGGCTCGGGAAACTTCTCGGAAGGCCTCGGGTTTTTCGCGCGCCTGCTAAGCAGGCCAGCCCCTTCTTTTGACATCGCTCGGACGTGTGCACTCTTCTCGGCGAGAACCATCGAGGAGCATCTGTTGGATCATCCTGCGAATAAAAAAAAGTCAACCCACGAAACCGAAAAATGCTCGCAACAAATTTTCGAGAGTCCGGCCCCGCCGCGGAAGCTCGCGAGAGTCCAGCCCTCCCGCCACAATTCGCGACAGTCCAGGGCTCCCACGAAAGATTCGCGAGAGCCCGGGCCTCGCGCGAAACAGCTGCGAGAGCCCAGGCCTTTCGCAGAGGCTCCGCGAGAGCCCGCTCCCCCCGAAAAGAAAAACTTGGGCCCATGCACGTCCGAGCGACGGCAAGCTCTCGCCGTCGCCAGGCTTCTGCCTGGCGAAGGGCTGCGCGGACCGGGCCGCCGGCGCCCTCGGGGCGATCGCCCGCCGGAACGGCGCGTCGGAGGCCGCGCTGGCCCAGCTGCAGGCCTGGAGGAGCTCGGCGGCGACGGTATAGGGGCGAGTGGCCCAGGGGAGAGCAAGACGCGCATCCAGGGGCGCCGCTGATCTCTATGCCCTCGGCAAGGCTCCCGGGCGGATGCGTGCACAGTCGGGTCGCTGCAGAAGGAACCGGAGGGGCTCGGTGTTCCTTGATTGGTTCAAAGTTTGCCTCGGGTTTTCCTGAGGTTTTCGATGGGAAATCGAGGTTGAATTTATGGGAAAAAGGGGGCCTCGTTCCTTATTTGGGGTTCCTTAGGTCAACGCCCCGACTGTGGTGCCCGCCCCTGTGTCCTTGCCTCTGGGGGTCTTGCGTCCAAGGGTCTTGCGTCCTTATCACCCGTCCTTAATGTACGTTTTGACTGCAGGGGCGAGTGGCCCAGGGGAGAGCAAGTACCTGTTATCCAGGGGCGCCGCTGACCTCTATGCCCTCGGCAGGGCTCCCGGGGCGGATGCGCGTGGTGCCCGCCCCTGGGCTCTTCGCCCCCTGCCGTCGCCTCCGAGAGGAGCAGCGCCTGGGGGGAGGGCCAGCGGAGGCCTCGGCGGCCCTGCCCGGAGCGGCCCCAGCGAAGGGGGGGGAGAAAAAGGCCCCTCCCCCCCCCCCTCCTCCTCCTCCTCCTCCTCCTCCTCCCTCCTCCTCCTGCTCCTCCTCCTGCTCCTCCTCCTCCTCCTCCTCCTCCTCCTCCTCCTCCTCCCCCTCCTCCTCCTCCTCCTCCACCTCCTCCTCCTCCTCCTCCTCCTGCCCTACTCCTCCACCTGCTCCTCCTCCTCCTCGCTGCTCCTCCTCCTCCTCCTCCCCTCCTCCCCTCCCCCTCCTTCTCCCTCCTCCCCCTTCACCCCCTCCTCCTCCTCCTCCTCCTCCTCCTCCTCCTCCTCCTTCTCCTCCTCCTCCTCATCCAACGACGAGCCAACGCATGTGGGAACAAAAGCACGACGAGCAGGGAGAAAAAACGAGGGCCCAGCGAGGATCCAACGGAAGACCCAACGACGGCCCCACGAGCCCAACGGCGAAGGCCCCACGAGGATCCACTCCTGGGCCGAGCCCCGGAGGTCCAGCGGGTGGAACACATCGGGAGCCTTGAGACGGGGGTCAATGCGAACGGGGGTCAGTCAGAGCGCCCGATCTTGCAGGATCCTGCAGGGCCAGGGTCGCATTGACCCGGGTTTGGGCGCAGGATCCTGCAGGATCTTGCGAGATCCTTCGCATTGACCCAGGATTGGGTGCAGGATCTTGCAGGACCCTGCAGGATCGTGCGAGGCCTGACTGACCCGGGTCTGGACTGACCCGGGTCAGAAGATTTTTG